CCCCCAAAACATAAGCCTGTCTCAACTTTCTGTCTCTAACATTACATTCTTTGGGACAATAGTTCTTAACCAGGAGTCATTTGCTTCCAGGAGATATTCAATGATGTCCGGAGACACTTTTGGTTGTTAGCACCATGGTGGGGGGGGGGGCATGTGCTACTGCCATTTAACAGATAGAAGCCAAGGTTGCTGCTAAATAGCCTATAATACACAGAAGAGTCCTCTATGACAAAGGAGTATCCAGTTTAAAATAACGATAGTTCTGAGCTCGAGAAGCTCTGCTTTGCAGAATATCATTTCCTATTGTGTACTTTTTTCTTCTACTTTTGTTCTTGTGAATATTCACTGTTTGTTACCAAAAACAGCAGTATCATCTATTTTTGTCAGGCTATAGGCATAACCAAGAATAGGTAGGAACAATTTTAGGGAATGATAATGTTCACAGGTTTTCTTCTCCAAGACCCTAATAAGGTACCAAAGTGGTCTCTAGGACCTGGTGACTGGTACCAAAGGAGCTGCAGTGGCCCTCATCTGGCCTTTGCCAAATGTGTGGTCTCCTTCCACTACCCTGTGCATTCTGGTGTGACAATGAGGTTGGTGCACTGGGCGCATTTCACATAGCACAAGATGGCACCGGCCTATGCCCATACGTTCCCTCACCCAGACTTAATATACAATTTTCAAAAGAAAAAAACTTTGACTCTTAAGTCTTTATTTTATTTTATTTTATTTTTCGAGACAGAGTTTTGCTCAGTCATTCTGGCTAGAGTGCAGCGGCATCATCATAGCTCACTCAACCTCAAACTTCTGGGCTCAAGCAATCTTCCTATCTTCAGCCTCCTGAGTAGCTGAGACTACCAGCATGTGCCACCACACTTGGCTAATTTTTCTAATTTTTGAAGAGACAAGGACTTACTCATGCTCAGGCTGGTCTTGAGCTCCTGGCCTCAAGTGATCCTCCTGCCTTGGCCTCCCAAAGTGCTAGGATTACAGGCATGAGCCACCACGCCTGCCCTTAAGCCATTGTTAAGATGTTAAAAAGTAGGCTTGTGAGTTTTTTGTCCTACTTTTCTTCATAAATATAGTGTCATTTTTAGACTATTTTTCAAGGCTTTTCTTCTATGTGTTGCCAAGATTCTATATGACAGACTCTAAGACCTCATGTTGGCCCCCGCATCTGTTGGATCATAGTCATAGTGTCCTCAAGGTGGCTGAGCTCACCAGGGGCTTCTTGTCTGTTGGGCTGTTAAGACTATCTGGTCTTAAAGGCAGGAGGGAAACTAAAAGAAGCCCTGGACTTGGCTGTCCAGACAGATCCAGCTTCAGGACCTTCCAGCTGTGTGCATCAGCCCTGGGAAGTAACTCTGTGCACCTCAGTCCCCTCCCTACATTGCCTGCTCCACATACTTGGAAGGGCTTTGTAAACCAGGCCTGTGCTGGTCTCTCATCTTTTAAGCAGTTGGATTTATCTTCCAAATGGCCTCAAGTTACTTATTTTCTCCTCAGAAAAGAAAAAACAAAGGAAAGGAATTAAGTCATCAGTATGGCACTATGGCACAGTCCAGGGCATAGGAAATTCTTAGGTCTTTGTGACCACAGAGGTCTTGAAGGTCTTATGTGACAGTGGAGGTTTTATATTTGAACATTGCATGTCCAATACACCCTGATAAGGAAACATGCAGTTTACTGAAGGGAATCTTCAAAACCATACTCTGTCCTACTTTCAGCAACTCCAAGGAGAAACCCGAGAATGGTGGCATCTGCATCTTTAGGAGGCGTATCTTCCTCGGGCTCTGGCTCTAAAGGTGGAGACCAAGCTCTCTGGGGCCTGTTCACGGGGCTGACACATGCTGGTCAAAAGAACCGGGTCAGTTTTGTGCTCTACAATGTTGAAGGGACAGGCTTTCAGGTGCTCAGACATGGAGGTGACTTCATTAAACTCCCAGCTCTTGATTTTGGAGAAGAGACTGCTGAACTGCCAGATCTGTTGGGAAAGATAGAGGCTCAAAGGTGAACAATGGGCAATACTTTATTTGAACAGTATCTGGAGATGACTTCCTGTTCTTCCTGTTCTTAGCCTCTGGAGTGTTCAGTAGCTACTGCAGGCGTTGTTAGTTCCTTCCCCAGCATCCAATTCCTAGTTTGCTCTTCCAGTTAATAATCCCCTCAACTGGCCGTGTAGTTGTGAGGGAATGGTTAATACCAGTCAGCATATTAACACATGCCCTCCCCCTGTTCCCACTAGCAACAGTGATTAGTGTTAGAATAGACAGAGAGTTCAAAGCAGGACAATTAGAACGAATGAGACTCTACTCCAGAACTTGTGTCTGAGATATTAAAAACCAGATTATTGGCTGGGCACAGAGGCTCACACCTGTAATCCCAGCACTCTGGGAGGCTGAAGTAAGTGGATCCCTTGAGCTTAGGGGTTTAAGAACAGCCTAAGCAAGAGTGAGACCCTATTGCTATTGAAAATACAAAAAATTAGCTGGGCATTGTGGCAGGTGCCTATCATCCCAACTACTTGGGAAGCTGAGGCAGAAGGATTATCTGAACCCAAGAGGCTGAGGTTGCCATGAGCTAGGCTGATGCCACAGCATGCTAGCCTAGGCAACAGAGTGAGACTCTGTCTCAAACAAAAACAAAAAGACATTATCTACCACAGAACCTCCAAAGTTGACCATTCTACATTGACCACCTCCTTAAAATGACCTAATTTTCAAAGATCAGATATGCACCACATGTACACATTAGTACAATAGACCTAGTTCCTTATATTGACCATCTCCAAGCATTGATCAGTGTGTTACAGTCCCTTGGGATGTCAACTTACAGAGACTCTACTATATTTCCTACTGTACTTGGAAAGCTACAGTTCTAGGAGCTGTCAGCTAGGTACCACCAAAGAAGAACTGTCTTGAATTACTGAGTCGTTGAGTCATTATTGAGGAAGGAAAAAAATAGAAAGAAAAAAGATCATTTGGGGGCATTTTTTTTTTTTTTGAGATAGAGTCTTTGTTGTCCTGGGTAGAGTGCCATGGTGTCATAGTTCACAGCAACCTCAAACTCTTGGGCTCACGATCCTCTTGCCTCAGCCTCCTGAGTAGCTGGGACTATAGGCACCTGCCAAAATGCTTGGCTATTTTTTAGAGATGGGGTTTTGCTCTTGTTCAGTCTGGTTTTGAACTCATGAGCTCAAGCAATCCACCTGCCTCGGCCTCCCAGAGTGCTGGGATTATAGACATGAGCCACTGCACCCAGCCCTGGGGTATTTTTTTTCAAGCTGCTAGATCAAACCTTACCTGAAGCTATTACCTTTGGTCTTTTCAGTTATATAGGCCAAATACATTCCATTATCCTTTATGCCACTTTAGGTTGGTTTTCTATTGTTTGAAATTCACATATTCTAACTAACGAGGGTTTCACTGAAACAGGAACCCCTTGGGAAAATTCTGAGTCTGCTACTCAGTAAGACATCCTATGGTTTTTCCACCTGAGATGGCAACTTTGGTGGCAAAGTTGCTAGTTTTAACATATGGTAATGAGAGTAAACATACAACCTGATACCCTTTCAACCTGACTACTTCACCCTCAGTTTCTTATCATTATTTCTATATAAGAAAAATATTTCCTGGGATCTTGGAACTACTTGCCTTTTTACTTTAAAAAACCATTTCAATATAAGTATCCTTTAGTCCAAGCTAAATTCTCTGTCTTTCTGCAAAGAAGTAAGTCTGTCCCACATGATATCCAACAGTGGTCAGCAATCATTGAATTGGGGACAAACTTGAGCCAAATAATGGGATATCTAGTAGGTAAATTAAATTATTTGCATCTGACTTTGTTTCTGCATCTGGTTTTTATAGAGGAAGGCACTACTAATCCTGAAGGCAGTATCTTAGTCTCATTTATGTTTATTCCTAACATGGGCTATCAGTGTTTATTTAACACATGGATGCAAGCATGGATATATGAGGGACAGCCTTGTAATCATGTTTCAAAGAAGATTTCTCAGGGAATAAATAATTGGCAAAATACATAAGTTGTTTTAGGCATAATCAATAAAAACAGATTGATCAACAATACTTACTCTCCAACACTATATTAGGAAGAAACTCAATAGTGAGATTATGGAATTATTGGACTATGTGGGCACCATAAATTCATTTTTCATATTACCAATATATTTACTCTGAGAAAAGATGGTATGGGCACCTTGGATATGATGAATTAGGAGCCTCACTTCCATATGATACAATCTGGTAGAAGTGAAAACACAGTTGAATAGACATGGCCCACAAGGAAAAGTGAGTAAGGTTTTTCCTAAGGGAAAGATTCTTTAATTTTTTTATACAGTAGAAGTTTTTGAAAAATTAAATTAATATTTGGATCGGCTCAGCGCCTGTGGCTCAAGCGGCTAAGGC